TTTGTGCCTCCTGCTCTGGAAAAGAAGTACCAGCTGAACTTGCCGCCCTACCCTGACACGGAGTGTGTCTACCGTCTGCAGTGAGGGAAGACGGGCGGGCGTCCTTCCCAATAAAGACTTAGCGCCCCCCTCCCAGCGCCGTGGGGTCCTGGGAGCTGTTCTGGCAATAAAAGTTACTGGGTGGCAGGAGCTGGACAGCAAACTGAATGAGACATGGTGCCACCTTTCTGGGAGAACGGAGCAGGCAAGGGAGGTGGCTGTGGCATTTGAGGGCAATGAAAATGGACTTTCAGATGCTGAAAAAAAACCCAAGTGAGGTTCTCTGAGCTTTCTCCGTCCACTAACAGGGTAGCAAGATGGAGGTGAACAGAAGAAATCCCTTCAGAGGCATCCCAGGAAACGAATTTGTATTTAGGATGTTAGCCGGGGGGTGGAGAGGCCAGTCAGGACTTGACCTGGCCTGGAGCCCAAGCTAACCATTTTTTCTAGTGCTGACACTGGCAGGCTATGGGCTGGAGTCCATTCTGCCCACACTTGCATCTGCCTTCAGCAAGGGTGCCCCTCCAGAGGGCCTCTGCCTTCCTGTCCCCACAGTCCCCAGCGCTTGCCCACACTGTCCTGTGAGCAGCTGGCGCTCCGGCACTCGGCTTCCTCCTTGGGAGGGACTCCTCACGGGGAGGGCGCAGGAGCCCTCGTCCACTGGGGTCTCAGACTTCAAGTCCTGAAAAGGAATCTGTAGAGCCCCGCCTTGACCTGCCCTTCAGTCTTTCTTCGGTTTCTCCTTCCTTGTTCTCCCGTCAGGGCGGACTCCAGCTCTGCCCCCCTCCCCCTCCCTTACATCCTCCTCCTCCTGGGGCCGCTGCCTTTTCTTCTTGCTTCTCCTGCTTTTCCCGTCACCGTGCCTTCTGCTTGCTGCCTCCTGGGCCCCGCCGTCTTCGGCAGCCCGGGCCGTGGCTTCTGCGCCCAAGTCTTGCTGCCGCCGCTTCTGCTCGCGTCTGCTGCCCGGCTCCGCGTGCGCCCCGCTCTCCGCCTGCTCCGGCCCAATGCCTCCTGTTCCACCCGACACCCCCACCTTCTCTGCTCGGTGCCGCCGCTTCTTCCTTTTCCCGAAGGGCTCATCCGTTTGCTCCCCGTTCTTCCACTCTCCCAGCTCACTTGTTCCTGTGGCCTCCCCGTCCCCGCCTCCGACAGCTGTGCCCCCTGTCTCATCTGCAACCGCCTTTTCTCGCTGTTGCCTTTTCTTCTTCTGGCTTCTCCTGGTGCTCTGGCCTGGGTCCTCTGGGCACTCCTCTTCTGCATCCCCATCAGTTGCCGTAGCCTCTTCCTCCCCTTCCTGCTTTCTTTTCTTTTTCTTCTTTTTGCGGGGCTTGCTCTCAGACTGTAGTTGAGAGGTCCCGGGGTCCTGGCCTTTGAGATGAGCCAGGAAGGCCTGTTCTTGGGCCTCCAACCGAGCGAGCTTAGCCTTCATCGTGATCCCAAGACGAGCAGCCCTGAAACACATGGAGGCCCGGGTCGGAGTGAGGTATGGGGGAGCAGGCCTAGTCCTGAGATTGTGTGCAGAACTGGCAGGGGAGGAGCTGCCTCTCTCTCTTTCCAACGTTTATTGTTTTGAGAGAAGGCGCACGTGAGCAGGGGAAGGACAGAGAGAGAAGGAGGTTCCACACGGTTGGCACAGAACGCAACGTGAGACTCGATCTCATGAACCGTGAGATCATGACCTGAGCCACGATGAAGAGCTGGACACTTAAGTAACTGAGCCCCCAGGTGCCGCGGAGCTGCCTGCGGGCAGCTGGAACCCTTCCCCTGGGGTGGGAAGAGTACAGAGTGGCGCACACCATCCTCTAGGGTGGGCTTGCGACAGGGAGGAAGGCAGGGAGCCCGGGGAGCCAAACACTACTCACTTGTGTGCTGTTCGCCCCTCACAGGCTTGGAGCAGCATCTCATCGGTCAGACTGTGGGGTGGGGGGATCAAGAATTACACACAGAGCTCGTGGAAAGGCCTGCCCTCTAAGGCATTCCTTCAACACTGACTTCCTGTTCGGGACCTGGCACTTTCTAGGTGCCGGCGATGCAAAGATCAGTACAACGCGGTTCCACCCGAAGCAGCCCAGTCAGGCACGAGACTTGGTGCCTTCTCTGGAGGTTCAAAGGTCTCTTCTCCCGCACCCCCCCCCACCACTGAAATGAGGTCTCACATCTTTGGAGGCTTGGACCCCTGGCTGTCATCATCACTGTGGCTCTCCATGTCTTTGTCTGGCTGTTCACCACCTGACGTCAACGTGGCCGTCTAGAAGGAGTGATCATGGGGGTGGACAAAGCCCGCTCAACACCACTGCCGATCCCTCTCCCCTCCTGGAACCCCCCCCAGGAATTGGTAGCCATAGGCACAAATCTTGCCAGTCCCCGATACGGCTCCCTGAGACCCCCAGGGAGGTGTGCCGAGCTGCATACTTCCAACTTGGGCAGGAGGTGGGCTGCAGCTGTGGGGGGTGGGGGGGTAGTGG